GCTGCTTTAACGGCGCAAGAACTTTCACCAGCCAACGAGCCAACTTATGTCGAGCTGAGTTCACCATTGACAAGATTGGTCGAAGCAACTCGTATAGCTGAGGTACGTTGGACCCCCCCCCCGGTTTTACGCTGTTATATACCTCATCATCAATCACAGGGTATAAGAGGAGCAACTTTAGGTCTTCCGTGATGCGTCTTTCCATTTCACTAACATCGTCTGTTCTTGTAACGAGTTTAAATTTGCTAGCATCACTCAGTAAATCTTGCATTTTATGTTCTAGCTGGTCCCGGTCTCACCTTACCTATCGTCTTATATATTTTCATGTCATTGTGTTGGCACTGAAGAAACAATACAAAATGTTGACATCTGCCAGTGTTTGTCTTCTTACGGCTTTATTTCACTTACTAAAGGGATCTAACTGTTTTAGTCATTGCATAGCCACGGTAACATATTGAAGGAGCTGTGTCGTCCGCATACTCCAGTTTACACAATCGGTCAACTGGCAGCAACTCCACTACGGTAGATTCTGCAAAAAGCGAGGTATTCATGATCATGTTGATCAAAATGTGAACGGGAAAGATGGGACAGCTCTGGCAAACCCCAATTGTCGTGCGGAACCCAGGAGACAATTTCTCTTGGACCCCTACAAGGCTCCGGGAGTCAGGGTATAGAGACTTCAGAATGACAAGAGGTTTAGATGACACATTTTTCATTGATAGGCAGTGCCACAAGCTGATGCAGTCAACAGAGTCCTAAGTAAGGGAAAACCACTATAGTTGATCGTATGTATGCGTGTCCCTGTACTAAAACTTACCAAAGAGTAAATATGTGGTCGATGCTACCACGACCAGGGTGGAAGTCAGCCTGACTTTCAGTGATTCGGTTCTCACGGGGACCAGTCAGTCGTCGAAGAATGATACCCGTGAGAAGTATGGGGACCATGGAAATAAGGCCAGTGTACGATAATTTTCGCACAAAGTAAGCTGATCTTTTTGAAAATGGGCACGACAGTTGATAGTGGTCATTCCTAAGAAACATTCAGTGTCCCAAGTCGTGTTGAATAGAGCAGTAATTCCAGTTAACAAAGAGTCGCTTTCATCTTTCAGAAAATGTGAGAATGACGCCGGATCCATGAGCTCTGTTTCGTTTCAACACGGAAATCACATGTAGAAACTCTTCTGAAGTGAGAGGTATGACATAAACTTCCAATTTCGGATCAGATAATTCGGCAAACGGCAGTGCCGCATCAGGCCTGCTGAACTGCTCTTGAAAATGTTTATCCCAACGGGATAGTCGACAAGACTGAGAAGGAATCAACAGCTTATCTTTCTCAGCCATCGTTTTACTAAATGACAGCTTTCTCAGACATGTGTTCCGGATGAGATGGGACAGTGCTCGGCCGTTTTCAATAGCACTGGCGTTCATCTCAGTGGCCCTTGCAATTCACCAACGTTCCACATGATCTTAGCTCAGCGCGATTCCCTAAATTCGCCCCGCTGTCCTGCGGGTAGGTTATTTAGCCAAAGGCTCGGTGTGGAGTCCACTAAGTCGACACCCTACTTCGGCTTGGGCAACCGGGTAGTATCACGCCCTCTCACAAAACTATGGAAGAGCACTTTACCTTCATACATCCTGCAGAGTGAGGGTCTACGGCAAGCTTTCCTCGCAATTCACTGTCAATAGCGGTGTGTGACAGGGCTGCCATGTCCCCATTCCTCTTCAACTCCGCAATCGAACACGTCCTGTCGAATGCTCTAGAAGGTTTCCAACATTTTGGCCTAGAGCTTCTACCGGGTGAGCGCGCGACCGACTTAGATTATGCTGATGATATCGCCTTACTTGGTGACAACCCTCAGAGTATGCAACTCATTCTGGATCGTTTGGCGGTTGAAGCGTCTAAGTATGGCTTGAGCTTCGCCTCATCGAAGTGTAAAGTATTGCTCAAGGATTGGCTTCCACCTGCTCCCATGCTCACTCTCGAAGGTGCACAACTTGAACAGGTAGATAGTTTCGTCTACCTTGGGGGCTGTGTTTCTACTGACGGCACTACCAACAAAAACGTTTCTCTTCGTAACGCTAAAGCTCGATCAGCATCTCTCAATCTGAGGCACTTGTGGCGTCGTCGCGACGTCTCATTCTCACTAAAGGGCCGCGTTTACAGTGCATCGGTTCGCTCAGTATTGTTGTATGGGTGCGAGTCCTGGCCGATTCGCGTGGAAGACATGCGTCGTCTTTCTGCTTTCGATAACGGTTGCTTAAGGAGGATCGCTCGTGTTTGGTGGCAACATCGAGTTAATAGTAATGACGTTCGACGTCGCATCTTGGGAAATTCGAGTATTCCCTTTAACAAACTGGTTTTGTTGCGCCAGTTAAGATGGCTCGGTCACGTCCTACGCATGGCACCTGAGCATCTACCGCGTCGCGCTCTATTCGCTCGTCAAGGACCTGGCTGGAGGCGAACGTGTGGTGGTCAGCTTTCCACTTGGCGGCAGCACATGAAATCGCTGACGTCGTGTCTAGCCGCCGTTGGATCCGTACGTCTTCCAGGATGAAAACCAAATGATGAGGAGTGCCAATGGCTTAGCACTCTTGAAGACATGGCCCGCAACCGGAATCAGTGGAAGAATTGTGTACGGTATTGTATTGATTCACAAGTTTAATACCACAACATTGAAAATGACCAAGAAGAGCAAAATCGGCGCGTGAAAAACAAACTAAAAATGTTTTGTTCTACTTTTTGTCAAAATGTTCCCTTATTCCCGCAGCACATTAGCTGAAGTGTGTTGCTCACCTTCAACTAACATGACACGATGATTATGATGCGATGACTCTTCCTTATCCGCTGATCTCCATGGTTTTCTGTTGGCTCTTTGTCTAGTTGATAGACTGCTGAGATTACACCAACGTTCCCGGTCGATGTGAACACTTCTTGCCAGGTGTCGTTCCAGGGAGTTACGGATACGCTTAAACTCAGCGTCCATTGAAACCTGTTTACGGGCTTCGATCAAACTGACCGATGCTTCAGAGCTACATTTAGTTACATCTCGAGTTGGATGCATAGAAAGCTCTAAAGGCATTCTTCATGGCACACTTGAGACGATGCTCAGTCAGCTTTCGGCCCACCAACCTCCTTCAGCACTGACAATTGGTAGGTCAGTTTGTCATGAACTGAACTGCAGATTGCGAGTTCAAAGTACAGGTACGAAAGTTAGAAGACGGGCGTCTCTTTGAAGCAGTACAAGTGGGCGTCAAGCGTGCGCGCACTAGAGCATGGTCGGAACCCAGGCAGTGCTCCAGATTGACAGTCTTGGACTGATGTACGCCATCTGTAGCTAATGGCAATATGGTCAATTTGGGTCCAGGTCCTTAAGAAATCCGATCAGCGCCAGGTGACGCAATGTGCTGATAAACAGTGCTACTACGGTAAGGGTTGTTGTCGGCGCACAACTGCAGAAATAGCTCTGTTCGGCGTGCATAGACTACCAAGCGGCCTCCCAGGTGTTGTTCAGCGTTTTTAAGACGACCCACTTGGGCATTAAAATCACCAGTTTTTCGCCTTAAGAAGAGTAGGATGGTAATACAAATCGTCTGTGATACCCTCTGAATTGGATTCAGAAAAGGCATGTTGTCTTCAGACGGTGGTTATCAACTCCAATAGAGGTTGGAAGTCGAACCGCACACATGCGGCAGTTCACCAGCATCAAGTCGAGCAGATTGTCTTCAGCGTATTTGCTGAGGGCGAAACCAACACCGTAAACACCTTGAGCCATTGGCTTAGTATCGCTAGAGACGCGAACAGTGTAGTCATTGTCGTCAGATTCAGAACCAGGGGTCGAAGAATCATCACCACGCTGTTATCTTGTATGGATATTTCGGAGACACTGCACACATCAATACCAAGAGAGTGAAGAGTGGTTAGTGCTGCGTGTTTGCCGATCTGACCTAGAAAGCGGACGTTAAAAGAGCCGATAGAAAATGAGACTCCAGGTTTGGTGAAAGAGCCACATGTACCCATGGAAGTAGCTGCTAGCAGTGTGTCTCGCCAAGTGCTACGTGCAGTTTACCAACACTGTGATCGGTGCAACTTACCAAGTTTAGATCTATAGGGCACAGAGCAACGAAGCTCGTGAATCGTGGTCAATCGAGCAGTTACCCCGAAGACCAGAACAAACTGAGGCAGAGATCAGAACCAGATAAAGCCCAACGGTCAGTTTGAAACACAGCGCAAGGAAATCGATCAACAGAAAGATTTTTATCAAGAACTATGATCGATTGATCATAACTAGAGCTGGTCTGTTTCCATGCAATTCAACCCATATCTGGACCAAGTCTTACATTTTAAATAAACTACAGTCTACAAATGAGTAGACGAATTTGGGTATGATTCGATTTGGTTCATCGCAATTAGATTCCAAGCCGCATAGGTAAGCTACCAATCTGGAAAAACATCAGAGGCGCGTGTCGCCCTATTGAGGCTCGTCAGTGATGCGTATCTATTGGTCCCCTACTAGGGATCGAACCGATGGGTCGGGCTATATCGCTATTAGGTTACAATTCGTAATGATCGGCTGTCGTCCCCCATATCTCAGTGGCCTAAGCTGCTGGCTAGTTGGCGTTAGCCTCTAGCGGTCATGGGTCCGATCCCCAGTAGGGGACCGAGGGAATGCGCATCACTGACGAGCCCCAATAGGACGAAACGCGCGTCTGGTGCTTTTCCGGATTGGTAGCTTACCTATGCGGCTTGGAATCTAATTGCGATGAACAAATCGAAACTACAGTTTGCCGCGCACTCGTCTCCTCTGTTGTTTTTTAATGCGGGTTGACCTACTATAGCAATTCGACACAACAGAAGTAATAATTTATTTTGAGCCGTTTTGGTCCAACTATGTGTGCAGTGATCAGACCACAGTTTAGCAACACAATATTCAATGATGTGGTGGTGTTTTCGGAAAATCGGAATCCATCGAAAAAAGCAAATGGTGCGCGAAGTGACTTGCCTCAGTCATAGCCAATCCCTCCACATCTTCTGGGTGGGCTTCTACAGCATCATTCTTAGTCTCCAGTAGCGTATTAGCTCTGTTGCGGAAGTTGATCGCGTCTAAATGATGAAAGCAAGATGCTGACACCATGGAGTGCAACAGAATGGCGCTTTCAATCAACATCAACTCCCTCCAAGTCCATGATTCCAACATCCATGCGATAAACGGATTGGCGGAGAAAGAACCGACGCCAGAACCGCACATTGTCAAACCCACTGCTAGGCCAAACCTAGGGCAAAAAGGTTACCATGTGATCGCCAGCTTGATGGAAAAGAACGACAATCAGTCACAAATGTAGTGAGTCGCATAGGCGTGGTAAACCTCGGTTTCCAGTCATACAGCAGTTCATGATGCGGCGCCGTTAACTCAGCATCATCAATCTACACATTAGCTAGGGTTGAGAAAAGCCAAAGCTAGTGTGTTGCAACACAAATGAATCAGGTAGCAGGAAAAAAGGAGAAAAAACTAAGCAGAACAAAAGACACCGTTTTTATATTATACCAAGAGTGAGACCATGGTTGGAAGGGAGTAATACGGAGAATAAATAAAGATATATTTTATTCTCGGCTGTGCGAGGCACGCCTGCAAAGTCATGCTCATGGAAATACAAACAGATTTGGTCAGTTATTGCAGAAAGATGCTGCAAGTTGTTTGTATGTATACTTGTAGGTGTATGTGCAAGTTGAAACACATTTATTTCATATGCTAATTTAGTGAAGAATTAAATCGGCATACCCGTATGCTATATACGATTTATTTGATTTGATAGCGTCATCTCCAGTGATAGGCTGTTGTTTGACATCCCCGGTGTGGCTGCGGCTGGCCTGGCGAACAACCTCCTCGTGGTGCCAGCTGGGTGATCCGGGATTATCTCGGTCCAGCGAATCGTTCGGCGGCAGTGTTCCAGTACGTGATGGGTCTTCCCCTGGCAAGCGTTCTCCCTATAAAAAGCCACATGTGCCAGTTTAACAACACTGCGACGCGGCGGATGTGACTCGCCACTAAATAAAGTCACTGCAACTTGTTTCACCTTGCTGAAGCATTGTATCTCAGCCCCTTGCTTCTGAAATCGTAGGGAAGATTGGGCCCCTGTTCGGCTACTCACCAAACGAAAGGCGTATGAACTGAGTAATCAGTCATGGGCTCCCAATAGGTGCGAATCCCTGACTTCGCTCCGCTGCCTTGCGAGTAGGTTATTGAGCCAAAGGCTCGGGATGGAGTCACCATAGGCAACTCCCTACTTCGGCTTGGGCAATCGGGTAGTACCGTGCCTTCTGTAAAAACAATGGGTTTCGCGGTTACTACTACGTCGCTTACTTCTGCTGCTACTCGTGTTTCTCCATCACACGTCAGCTTTTCTCTTGTTGATTATCTACAACCTGTGGAATCTACTTCCAATGCCCGTGTTGCTGGTATCCAAATCATCCGACCATCACCTATCGTTCGGCCCCGTAATTCATTCCGTCTGGCAGCTTTCAATGTTCAGACCATCCTACAGATTGGACAACAGGCTAGCCTGGCGCGCACTCTAGAGCTTCTCGCTATTGATGTTTATTGCTTTTCAGAGACTCGATTGCAGGAACCCAGCACCGTGAGTTAAGTTGTCATCCCCAGCTGATCTTGAGATTACATATTACCTAGGTTTGTCTAGTGACACGGAGCTAGCAGCAGCCCGCTTAGCTGGTGTCAGTATCGTATTGAGTGACAAAGCGGAGACTGCATTACTCGACTGGTTTCTAATCGACAGCCGGCTGTGTGCGGTTCGGCTTCAAGGCTCATGTAAAAGCAACAGACATCGTGAACAGAGGCGCAATTTGTCGTTTCTGACTACGCTCCAAATGACTGCAGCTGTGCATCGGTTAAGAATGACTCCTATCGTGGTCTCCACAACCTTTCGGACAAGGCCGAAAAGTCAGATGTCATCGTCCTTGTCGGAGATTTCAATAATCGAGTAGGTCGCCTGCTTCCGTGCAAGACTCATTTTGATAGCAGTCACGCGCCTGATGAGATCGGTGCTGACAACAGTGATAGACTTCTTAAGTTATGCGAAGACCACCGTCTCTTGCCCCCAAATACGAACTTTAAGCATACCAGAAGACGCGCAGCCACCTAGCGTCCTCCTTCACCAACGCAAGCGTGCTCCCAAATAGATCACATTGCAAACAGCTTTAGATGGCGAAGTAGCGTCCGGGGTTGTAGACCGATTCGGTCTACCTACCTCGATTCAGACCATGATTTGGTCCGCGCGGACATCTGCATGCGCTTCGGCGGCTCCTCAAAACGAAAGCTCCATACGATCGAGCTGAGCTCTCTACTCGATCAACCTATAAAGCTTCCTTATCGCATACATTCATTGGCGCCCCACCTCAAGACATCGAAAATTATTGGAGTTTCCTGCGTGAAGAGATGTTAACTTCCAGTCATTCAATCTGCGGAAGCACAAGGCGCCCTCTGAGGGGCTGGGTTTCCGCACGTTCACTAGAATTGTTTGATTATCGTAAAGCTATCCCGACCGATTCAAATAGCAGTGCATTGCGTTGCATTCTCAGCCAACAACTTAAGCAAAGCCTGCGTGCTGATCGCGAAACTTGGTGGTCCCAGCGCGCCTCAGAGATGAAAACAGCAGTCCACACGGGAAAGTTTCGCAAGCTCTTCCAGATAATTCGGGCCACTGGTCACAAAAGACATGGTGTCAGTGAGGTCATTTGCGAGGTTGACGGAACGCCGATAAGCAACTTACAAAGGCGTATGGACCGCTGGGCTGAACACTTCCGCACTCAATTTAGCTAACCTCCTCCGCAGGCGAGCCTACTGAGTATACCTAGTTGCGCGCCTCGGAACGTCTCATTGGAACCACCCACAGAAGCTGAGATCTGCCTTGAGCTCAGACACTTGAAGCGATTCAAGTCTGCTAGCCCAGACGGACTTCCTCCAGAGCTGTTCAAGTTAAGGGGCGAAGTAATTGTCCACCAGCTAAAAGCTATGTTCTCTAAGATCTGGTGTGGAGAAACAGTGCCATCCACTTGAGGGGAGTCCATTATCGTCCAGATCTTCAAGAAAGGTGCCCGTACCCTATGCGCTAACCACCGACGAACCAGTCTAATGTCCGTTGCCTACAAGCTGTTGCCATCCATTCTACTCCACAGACTAACCCCGATTCAAGAAATACGCTCCCGTGAAGAACAGGATGGTTTCCGCCGCGGTCGTGGGTGTATAAACCACTTGTTTACGCTCCGCCAACTCCTTGAAACGCGTCACCTTTCCCACCAGTCCACTATCGCTGTTTTTCTGGACATCCAAGCCGCTTTCGACTCCGTCGATCGACCAGCTTTATGGCGTTACTTACATAGGAATAGAGTACCCGAAAAGTATATCGCCATTCTTCGAGCATTATATTGCAATGTCGCAGGTAAAGGGAGGGCTTATGGTAAGCTCTCTTCACCTTTTGCCGTCACTAGCGGTGTACGACAGGGTTGCCCCATGTCTCCGTTCCTCTTCAATTTTGCGATCGAAGATGTCCTTTTAAACACTCTCGAGGACTCTCAGGGTTCTGGTGTAGAGCTTAGTCCTGGCAACCGCGTGACCAATTTAGATTATGCTGATGATATTGCCTTGCTTGTTGATGGCGCACATAGCACACAACCGTTCTAAACCGCTTGGCAATTGAAGCATCAAAATAGGAAATGACTTTTGCGCCTAAGAAATGCAAAGTCCTTGTCCTGGATTGGCATCCACCTGCCATAGTGCTCACTCTTCAAGGTACGCAGCTTGAACAAGTTAAGAACTTCGTTTACCTTGGAAGCTCTCTTTTAATGGTAGCATTGGAAAAGAGATTTCCCTCCGCATTGCCAAAGCCCGTTCGGCATTCACCAACTTGAGGCATCTGTGGTGACGCCGTGAAGTTTCACTAGTGGCAAAGGGCAGGATCTACAATGTCTGTGTTCCCGTGGTGCTGCTGTATGGGAGTGAGTCCTCGCCAAATCGTGTGAATGACTTGCGTCGGATTTCGGCCTTTGACAATGGATGTCTGCGGAAAATAACTCAAGTGTGATGGATGAACCACGTGCGCAACGAGGATGCTAGACGTCGCGTCTTGGACAACACGGGACTTCCATTTAACAGACTGGTACCGCTGCGCCAAATGAGATGGCTGAGCCACGTTTTACGCATGCCATGCGAACGGCTGTGCCGACGAGCTCTCCCTGCTCGCACAGGACCAGGCTGAAGGGAATTGCGCGGTGGTCAGCCGATCACGTGGCGAAAGACGAGTAAAGCGCTGACATCCAGCTTAGCTGTCGTAGGTCCCGTGCGTTTTCCGGGCTGGGGGATCAAAGATGAAGAACACCGCTGGCTGGAAACTCCTTCGGAGATGGCGCAGAACCAGGCCCAATGTGTGCTTAATTTACATCGTAAACATTAAACAGATAAAGAAAGATAAAACGGCGTGTAAAGAAACAAAAAAGACAAGATTCAAAGACAAAAACCTTTTTGTAACTTTCATTCTTTTCTTCGTGGTCTCTGTATTTACTACTTCCGTTTCATGGTTTTCGCTGGCTCTATGCCTATCTTATAGACTGCTGATAATATATATATATATATATATATATATATATATATATATAGCTGCACTTGATGTTCATGTTGACAAGGTGCCTACCGGTCTAGTACTCACTACTCCATCTATACTGGCTCTAGGAGACAGATGGGAAGTGCTGGAGGGGACGGGGTGTACGGTCCTGGTGGCAGTGCTAGGCTTTAAGTGGTTCTATGCACATGGGTTGTGTGGAGCGGGCTACGGCCTAACCACTGCCTTGTGTGTGCTTGATTCTCTAAATACAGCGTGCTTGTGTTTGCCTGTGAAGGTGTTGGCCGCCTCCGTTGAGGAAACGTGGCACCTATCCGCATGCCTCCCGGTCTTACTCCTTCGGGTTTACACCGGATATGGGGTGTGTGGGTGGAACTGCGCGTAGTGTAGTGCAAGCCACCCATGGTCCCTCTGTAGGTGCATGCGTCCTGTGATTGTTCTATGGAGGCCACTGTGACAGGCAAATCCGGAATTCGATGCCGCCAACCACGTATGTGCAAGTAGCTAGGTTGGATGAATTTGATAATGTGACGCTGTATTTGTGATTCTGTTCGTTGGGTTCGGCATCGTTGGAAGATATCAACGGAACGCTACGAATAAGATGGTGAGTAGGATCCCCCAGGAAGGTAAAAGGCAGTGCCTTT